TGCTTGCTCTTATTCTTGTTCTTATTGTTCTTATTCTTGTTCTTATTCTTTATGGCATCTGCATTTTTTTTAACATCCTTCTACCAATATACCCACTGTCCCTCCTCTGGACATGTCCAAACCACTGTCCCTCCTCTGGACATGTTCAAACCATCTCAGTCTGGTCTCTCTAACTTTATCTCCCAGTTGTTCAACCAGTTCTGAACCTCTGATGATGTCATTCCTAATCTTATCCATCCTTGTCACTCCTAAGGAGAACCTCAACATCTTCATTTCTGCCACTTCTAGTTCTTTCTCCTGTCTTTTTGTCCATGTCTCTGTCTCCAGACCATAAAGTCTCACCACTGTCTTGTATGAGACATGTATACCATCGTTCTTCTCACAAATGGAGAACACGACAAGTCCATCGGAGATTATATTGAAAACGATTGTTGTGTTTCATGTAAAAAGCTCCTCGATGACCGTGGAGGAAGTTACGTGTTCGATAACTACAGTAAACAGAATCTAATGAGAAAAACTGACGCCACGTTGACGTCAAGTGGAAGCAGCTTCTACACCAACGACGTTCTGCAGGAGGCTGAAGAAGCAACACAAGAAAGTGGAGAGAATCCTGAAGGAGAAAGATGAAAGAGCTTGAGCAAACACGAGGAAATGGAAGCCATACAGATGAGAATGAAACAACGGAATGGAAATGGAGAGAAAGTTGAAAGAGGAACTTTAAGAAAGGGAGGAAAACAATGAAGAACAAGGATTGTAAGGTCAGTCATCCAGGTAGATAACAATAATGATGGTTAAATTGTGTCACCTGGACCAGTTTTTTTTAAAGTGAGATACGTTTTGTTCCCCATCCAGAGGACTTCTTCAGTCTGGCCTGCCAACCAGATCTGTCCCATAGGTAGCCTTCACTGCTGTTTCAGTGGCTTTAAACACAGCAGTGAAGGCTACCTATGGGACAGATCTGGTTGGCAGGCCACAGACTGAAGAAGTCCTCTGGATGGGGGACGAAACATATCTCACTTTTAAAAAAACTGGTCCAGGAGACACAATTTAACTTGTTATTATCAATGAAGAACGTGAGTGGAGAGCAAGGTGCAAGAAAAGAAGCAGAAAGGAGGAAGGAAATGGTTGAACAAGAGAAGTGGAAACGAGCGAGAAAATTGGCAACAAAAAAATCAGGAGAAAAGGAACTCGCTGATAAAACTGGAGCACGTCAGAAAAGAAATGGAGGAAAGACCGGACTTAGCACGATGTGGCTCCGTCAGTGGACAACTTCTGGTCCAAGCTCCATGTTGGTAACTATAGAAATGTCAAACAACATATCTGAACACCTCATGGGTCAATGATGATCCTCTTTAATTCCAAGGGTGACCAAAGGTCAAAGGTGACCCCGTTGTTAAAACCTTGTGCTCTAGCTCGGCATCCTACAAAATACCTAACTTTTTTATTTTATTTTTTTAGCTTTTCCCCGTCCATCCATAAGACCGTCCACAGAAAGTTGTCCGTGAGTTACGGTAACTCCACAAGTTTTAGGGATAGAAATGTCAGATTATGGCTTCAAGTTGGATTTTATTTTTATTAAGACCACTTCCACCAAATACTCATGAAGTCTTTGCACACTCTTCCATCAGGATCACCCCTACTCCGTTTCTCTTTCTATCCACATCGTGGTAAAACAGTTTGAACCCTGCTCCAGTGCTGCGAGCCTTGCTGCTCTTCCACTTGGTCTCTTGGACACATAAAACATTTACCTTCCTTCTCAGCATCATGCCAATTAGCTCTACCTTTGCCTGTCATTGTCCCTACTTTTAGAGTTGCTATCCTCAGCCCTACACTTTTGACTTTCCTCCTCTTTCTCTGTCTCCTGATACATTTCCTTTCTTGTTGTCATCAACTAACGGTGCAGCACCCCGTTTGTCAACAGCAAAGGTGACGGTCACCTGCGCCTCGACTGATCCGGTCTGGTTCTAACATATTTGTTTTGGCAAAAGTGTTTAACACCGGATGCCTTTCCAGACGCAGCCCTCTTCATCTACCTCGGCTTGGGTCCGGCCAGTGGTGTCGTCTACATTTTTGTACTGGGTATACTGTGCTTAGAAACCGAAGTACACTGGTTAGTACAAAGTAATTGTCAATTTCTTTTGATTCTTAAGCACATTGAACATTTCCAAATTTCTCTGGTGCTTCTATTTGAATAAATGTACAACTTTGTACAACAGTTGGCTTCGTATTCAAAACATGTTACAGATTTCATAAAACAGTATTAAAGGAAGACATGTTCAAGTATTAAGCAGTAAGTATTGAAGTATTAATTACACGAACAAACAGGTTGAACCAACTCAGTGTGTTTATAAAATATTCCAGATGTGCTGACAATGACGCAAGCTCTAACCTCCGTATCACAGACTGCACCACTGGGTCCAGCACAAGAGATGGTACACTGGATTGTCTTCCCTAGTGGCTGGTTTCATGAGGTCTATGACTCTGACCATAAAATAGTTTGGATCCGCTGGTAGTCACCAACAGGCCAGTTCTTCACCTTGAAACTGATCGCTGCAGTTTAGCTGTTCTTACACGTTCTTTAATTGAACTATTTGAACATTTGCGCCACGAACAACGTGTCAAACTTCACAGACACCGATTCAGGGAGTTCATGCTTTGAAATTTTGATTCCTCTGATGAGTTAGTGACGGGCGTATTCTGTAGAGTTGGTGCAACTCTTGTTTCTGCTCAGAGTGTGTTTGTTGTAGGAAGACAACTGGTTTGATTGAACTGGTTCAGATCAGTCATGTCTGGTTTTAGCTGCGATTCTTCTTCTAACCACTAGATGGCAGCAGATGACTGGTGTAAATCTTTGATGTTTCGGCCTCACAGACCACCTGTCTGTGAGTAAACTGGTTTAAAACTGGGCAGCATGATGGCTCAGTGGTTCACATCAAAAAGGTCCCGGGTTCAACCCCCAGTTTGGACCTAGGGCTTTTATGTGTGGGGTTTGTAGTTGTGTTTGCGTGGGTTTTTTCGGGTTTCCTCCCACAGTTTGAAGACATGCACGTTAGGTTGCCTTCAGGCCCAGGCCTCCTTGAAAAAGAGCGGTGTGATCTCTTTACTGACCAGGTTAAATAAAGGTGAAAAATAAAACGGTTGTTTTGTTGTTGACGTCTCTGCTGGTTGTCTACTGGTTTTTGGCGTTTCTGGGTGGAGCAGGGCTCGTCCTCTGCTCAGGCCTGGTGACTGCCTTCAACACATTCCTACCCGAGTGGAATGCTGCAACAAACAATACAAACAGCACCACCCCGATAAAACCAACGTTCCAGTCGGACCAGTCCAACGTGCTCGTCCCGCTGAAGAACCGAACCAGGTGGACGCTTGTCACCTAACGGCTCCGCTGCACCTCCGAGCAGCATGTCTGTGTTCGCGTCTCCGCCATGCCGTGCCTGACCGTCGTCCACACCAGAGGTCAGGGGGTGACGGGACGAGGAGACGCAAGGGACGGGGGCAGTAAATGGGTGAGGGCGGGAGAACTTGCTGAGCAGAACCAGAACCAGTCGAGGTAGGCTTGAGCAGCGAGGGTTTAATTGAAATGGGCTCCTGAGCGTTTTGTGTCTCCAGGGAGGAGAAGACGGAGCCAAACGATGGTTTTCTTGTTTCACGGAGACATTTCCTGTCAGGATGAGTGATGGCGTCGCGCCTGGCGGCTCATCAAAGCTGAAGACAGGAAGTGACTTCTTTAATGGTTATTCTCTTCATCTCCCGTGGATTTTACAGCTTTTTGATTAGAACGGTGCAACGTGACGAGTCGAGGTCAGAAACCGAACCTCAGAAATCTACAGAAGGTTCTCTGAGCTGCTCCTTTCTTCAGGGGTCACCACAGAAAACAAACTCGCATGAAATATTTGGAAATGTGTTTTATACTGGATGCCCTTGCCTGAAGCAGCCTGGGCTCGAACCCGCAACCTCAGGATTGCAAGACCGCAGCACTGACCACCGAGCTACCGCAGCTGCTAGAACCGGACCTGCAGACCCTAATGTGACTTGAACGTGTGACAGCTGATGCAGCGGTCTGACAACATCTGCATACTTCGTGTGTTTTTAGCTGTTCACAAATCAAAACGTTCAGCTCGTTCTGAAGATGGGTGCTCTGGCTTTTTTTTGTTTGTTTGTTTGTTTGTTGTTTGCAACTTTTATACTTTTTTGAATAACTGACTTTT